CGAATGTATTTCATCAAAGCTGCTCATGTTTTTCACAGCTTCAGACATCTACTGTAAAACCTACGCAACGTAATCCTGGCCCAGGCAAGTACATTGGACGCGAGTCCGGGTCGAATAGTTGATACGTGGCCTCCTAAAGGGGTTTATCTCTCTTTTACTCAATTGATGGCCTTTGAAGGCGATAAGGTAGGAGTATATAAGAAGGCTTCACAATGGAATGCCAGAATACACACAATACACTAGTTGTGATGTATCACCCTATTGTTAGCGGAATTTCATATGCATAAGCTCTCTCTCCAAACATCTAGTGCCCTAACTCAACTTAACATCATTTAGGATGGTCCCGATTGGCGGCCATTTTCACGAGAGCTACCGTATCTGGTCACTGTGTTTCAGATTTCCCAAACCACACTTAATTCGTCTCTCTGTCGAGTGAGATTCTGACTAAAGTTATATATCGATTCACCCTCTACGTAATGCACCGTCGCTATACTCTGGAATCTTCAATTCCTGAGCTGTGGATCTGTGAAGACCCAGCGTTTCATCTGAAGAACCCGGAAATTGTATGCGTCCGTCGGTGACCAAGTTCCTGAAGCCCTGATGACAGAAAAATGAATACATACGCTCACTTATTTCGAATCCAACACATAGGCAGTGCAATCATTGAATTCTACTCCCTGGTAACGCCTGACCGGGAGCCAAGCTACTGGACGTTGCGTTGAATCTCGTTTTCATTAAGTATTTGCAATTACTGGATAGACATCCTTCACCTCTTTCGAAATCCTGAATACGCTATCAGTATATCAACTTTTGTAATCAGTGTATGTGGTCAACTTATTACGCGGTCAATGTAGCCATCTTTCCTGTTGGCAATAAGTAGTATCCCCTTGGAACTTTTTGTCAACGTATGCAGCGCATGCATTTACAATGACGCCTCAAAGTAAGGAGACCCCACACCAGCTCATAGGTTCCAGTTCCCATGTAGATAAGAACCCTTTTTGCATAACTTTGCGTATTTGTTACTGCTTGGCTCCCTCAATGGGTCACGAAAAACAGGCCTACCACGCTAACCGCTGAGCTACACCGGGGCCAGCAAACTCGGATGAGGTGATTGGATTTCGAGCTTTACTCTAGGAGACGGAAGCAAATGCTAAGTCCAACATTAGTTGAGTGGAATTGATACTTAGCCTAATTTTCCACCAAAAAAATTCTCCGATGGATTCACTTCGATCCGCTGTTGAAAGTTGAGCATTTCTGATACCTGCCAATTCATCTGACTCAATTTGAATGACGTTGATTCTATTATTTCGTGCGGATTTCTCATCACATTTTTCATTGAATCAAAGATTACGTTTTGTTCACGCTATGTATAGACTCCTGCTAGGCTATACCCATTTCCGCGACAATGCAATTCCAGTTAGTGGTCAGCGAACAGTACTGAACGTTACAAGATATCTGACAGCAGATAAAATCTTTTGCGTTTTGCCAGGAATGTATGTGTTCATGTAAAAAACACACGATATTATTCGTTAAACACACTCTCAGTCAGACGTCGGAGCTCACTAAACTGTTTCAGCAAATCCCACCCGTGCGTTGTCCACGTCAAACACTGTAACGTAGTGTCTCAGAAACGACATTCCCAGGATTGCTTCGGCTGGCATGCCTTGGGGGATTGCTTTTATTCCTGGTTGGCACAAATCCGTATCAAGCTGGCAGATAAAAAGCAAACGTGTACCATCAAACGTTTTCGATGCAATAGTCCGACAAACTACGTTTGTGCAGCTTCTCTCATCTACATAGCAAAAGCATGATAACATAATCTTGAATGATTTTGAGTGGACCGTATTGCAATGTTTTGTCAGCTGTTGTTTTACACTCAGTGAACTTCCAAAAAATTTCTACAGGAGTTTTGAGAGGGCTTACTTTTCAAACACTCTCAGCGGGAGAGACTTTGCCTTTCAAGCACACTGACTAGTGGTCGCTTAGCTTGTGTTTGCAGATGAACGACTTTTGAGAGAAAGGCATTTCTTTTTACATTATATGTCGTAACGAGGAAAAGGAGGAAAGTCCTGTGGCCAAAACTTTTTGAAGATGGTGATGTGCGGGCTTTTCGACGTAAATTTCAAGAGAATAAGAATTCGGCTAGACTGGAGATGAAGTGGGGCAACTGAGAGACTTTGAGGTCTCCACTCGGAGACCGGGCATAAAAGACCCTGGATACAGCCAGAAGCAGCCAGGCGAAGATGCAGTGGAAAAAGAAATATAGCCCTTTCAGTGGAGTTTTTAGTGCACCAAATATTCCAGGTGACCGTGTGATGACTCAAAATGGACAGAATAGCAACCGGATGCAATTCAACGATGTTTTTTGCTACTCAGCGACAGTCGTTGAATCGTGCCTCGCCGGAAATAGGAGTGTCGCGCCACCCGTTGTTGTCCGACCCGTCCATCGAATATGTACAGCTAGCGCCTGGTGGGTGGCTGTGTTTGGTAGGAGCAGCGGACCACCTATTGTGTGAAGAATCCTCCAGACGCGGCTTTCGAGGCCAACAATTACCACGCCGCATTATAGAGTTTGTGCGTTCACCTTAATGTGGTAGGAGCAGCGGACCACCTATTGTGTGATGAATCCTCCAGACGCCGCTTTCGAGGCCAACAATTACCACGATGCATTATAGAGTCTGTGCGTTCACCTTAATGCTTGTCACCTGGTCTGTGCAGAAACTGCTGCCAGAGCTCAAGAAACCCATTTGGCACACCATCTCTCAACTGCTCAGCGGAAGTGTGGCACCCTAATATGAATCCCCGGGGACAGGCCTGTGAGAAGCTAACGCTGTAGAACCCATGGACGTACGCCAAGTTTTGACTGCACTGAACTGAGAGATAGTGTCAACCACGGACATTCTGGTTCAAAAATGGAGAAGAGGGCGCATTCGCCTGCAACCAACAGCATGAGGAGAGTGGTTTCGCGCAGCGGCGTTCCGGTCAGGGAACACTTTCCACTGAACAGACAACTATCCAATAAGTTTTGACTTGCTTTAAGACCTTTTAAATAACGGAGAGTTTTTGCCTTGGTGGTTGGTGAATAAAGACTGACCGGGTCTGGTGCGAAAACGCAGTCCTTTCTACTGCACCAAAGACTACGAAACCGTTCGAAGTATTTTCGCAGTCCCAAATTTAAGACCCGTTCGCAATGAAAAAGCTTTGATATGTTTGACAAATTTGTTATCCGTAGGACAATCCACAACGCCATTTTGGTGGCTGAGTGGACAGATTTGAAAAAGTTGGCAGTCTATGAGACTGTCAATTTCGTTTACGACAATTCCATTATGATTTGGAATGTCAAGGAAAGCCAAGGAAGAACAGGGTACAGCTGTCTTACAGCATCTTGCGAAGCTCAAAAAGTCTAGAAGAACCAACGGTTTGGTCATAGACATCTGAATAAATCTCAGATTGCCTTTTACTCGTTGCAAAACGTCCTCGCCCCGCAACTTCTGCATAGCGCCCGCAGACGTTTTAGTTGGAATGTTGGCTCTTCCGGCCTGAATTACTTCAAGAACATGGCATCCGCTTGCGCTTTTTCTTTCGTTTTCCGGTTTCAGACAAATTTTTTGAGTAGGGTATCTCATTATGTTGTGACTGGCGTCTTATTTGGTTCAAATATGCATATCATGGCTGGTTGATTGATGTTGGGAAGGGGTGTTGAGAAGCTACCGGAATTTCTTTCGCCTTGTTGAGCATTCCACGAGGTAGTCTATTGCCAACCAGCGACCACGCTAAACATTCTGCCCACACCCCTTTTTCACTTCGATAGCGATGTTTGCGTGTGTCTGGAGAGGACCAATGATGGTTTTTCTCTCAGTGACACAACGCTTGCAAGGGAACCGCCAAACTTGGCTGAGAGATACACCACTCTCTACTCAGCAGACAATGAATACATCCACGTTACTAACATTTAGACATTGGGAACAACTCTGGGCGTCGTACGCCTAAAACGCTTTGATGGTGGGAGCCGTTTTTTGTCTAAGAGCCCGAAGACCTCATCGGCTACGCTTACCAACCGCGTAGATGTCTTCTGCCACACAGCGCTACCTATCTTTTCCACGAACCTGGAATTCAGCAAGAAGATCAGTTGAACGATAGCCTGGTGACCAGACGATTAGAATCGTCTGAGTAAATAAGGCAAATCACCACCAAGACAAATAATTGCATGCCTGAAAACAAAATTGTCACAAACCCTGCAACATCTCAGTGTAGCAACATTAGGAAAAGAAAGCTACATTGGCAAACTATCACCCGAGACTCCTCGTGCCCCATGAAAACAAAAGCAGGTGTAACGATGAACGAAACTAAATTTTTCTCGTTCACGATCGACACAAAAGAAACGGAACACTTTTAGAAGAACTGGACCGAAGTATCATAGATGCCTCAGTCCGTCGTATCAGCCATCACAAGCAGCAGGACAGAACGGAAGAATACAAGGAACCCCAGAGAAATTGACGAAACCACTATCATTCGTCGTTTTACGGATGACTCGGTGCAACTTCTCGTGTACTACCCGCAAGGACTTCCAAATACTCTATGGGGCCAACGTCGGACCGCTCTTTAAGTATGCCAAGCAAGTTGTCTATTCAGGACAAACGAAATACCTCACCCTCAATGTGCGTGTCCGGCAAGCCGTTACGAAAATTTTTCCTGGTCTCAAATCCGTGGACTACGAAACGTGTCTCTCAGTGCTTGGCCTTTTTCCCCTGGAATATCGTCGCCTCCGACTGACTTCTTACTTATGCACTGTTTGAACAAAGTTTGACCAACAGGTTTTTCACCATTGACCCAACAGACACATGGCGAGGAAATGGTAAGGTTTTCAGGCTCACAGCGCACACATTCATTAGGCATAATTTTTCTCATTTCGGGTAGTAGCCGTGTAGAATAACCTTCCTCCGACAGTTGTCCACGCTCCATCTAGAACTCAGCTCAAAGCACTACTGGACACTTAATTATGTGAGTCCTTGCGCTGGCGAGCATTCTGCCCCGCGCTGAGAACATTAAGAGTAGTGCTACACCCTCGTTTTATTTGTCCCTTTCAGGTGAACGACGGTCGCTGAAGGACAAGAACCGATCCAGCAAACTTGGACAAAACCTCCATCCAATAATATATATATTATATATCATTTCGTAAATCCGTGAATTGTTGCCTTATAGGAGACGCCCGGTAGCCATCACGGATTTTATGAACAAGTCAGAAGTTCAACTCGAGAACTTCAGCATATATTGCAGGCTGGAAACACCAATCCAAAAATCTGCTGAGCAATATCAACTGAATATTTAGAGAAAGTTGACTTTTGGTTTCATAGAGCTTGGTGCAATCAACAATTCTTGGGAGCCCGTGAAAGGTCCTCCAAACTCAGCCCCGAGCTGTTTGGCTGATTTGAAGCCTTGTCGGGTTTTGCTTCGGATTTTACCGAATGCGATTTACCAATCTCATGACTACTTATGAATCTCTATTGCAACAGCTTATTGGGTATCTCTGAAGTGAATGTCCACACGTTCAAAACGGTACTACATCACGAAAGACTATAGTTTTTAACCACCGTTCTGATATTCATATTGGCTTTACAATGCTTCCACAAAACGACTTCACGTGACCGTAAGTAGCACACATCAAACCACTTTGTACAGCAACTGTCTAAAGGCTGATGACCACGGGGATTTGTTACATCTATCCTGATCAACTGTTTGGTCCTTTATTTTGCATCACACTATCGAAAATATTTTCCCAAGCTTATTTGGGTCACAGGTCCACCGTAACATTCATTATTCCGGAGCCCTGTTTGTTCTTGCTACTATTTTCTTATCTGATTCAGAAATGAAGGAACACGTCTATCAATGACGAATTACAGACCGCCCATTTGGTCCACAATGTGACCGGAAAGACGTCAGTGAAAACATTCGTATTCACTCCACCAGGGCAATTCGACTCAACTTACGCTCCCTATATCGCGGCACGGTTTCATACTTTTCACCGATTTTGATCCGGTGAATACAGATCAGCGATACATCTGCAAGGCGTTTGAAGGAACCACCCGACGTAGAGAGCACGTGTGGTTTGATCCACCTACGATAATCACTTAATCATTTGAGATCTAAGCTCGAGTGGCATTCAGCAACATTGAGATCATTCAAACCGACCATTGTGATTGCATTGCAGTGACACGGTATACTTGATCCCAAAACCATGTGAGTCTTCTGTGTATGAAATCCTAAAACTGGCGTCTTACCTGTATTATGTATTGCGTTGCATGCCAAGACAAGTGAAGGTTATGCAAGTTCACTATAAGCTTGGGCATTTCCAGCATGGCACTACACGGTATGTCTCCCTTTTCATTCGTTATGGCCCAATCACCACTGAAAAGACGGCTGACGAATGGCTGGGGAAAATATGACCTAGGGGACCCGGTGTCCAGGACCGCTGAGAAGCCTTCGATCAAGGCAGTACCATCCTCGCAAGTAATACTAAAAGTGGAAATATCAGTCAGTTTTGTTAGACCAGGGCTTTCAGACAAATCATTTATTTTCCTGACTACCCTATTTATACACAAACAGTAAGCTAGATTCCAAATTTCGCATCCGTTTGGTAACATTTTTAGGACGGTAAGGTCTCGTACATCTGGGTTCAGAGATTCCGTTGGTCAGTATGGCTGATCAAGTATTTACACCGGCAAATTGAGAAGAACCGGTTGAGCGCTTTTTGTTCTAGTTCAAGGCAGTTCAGTAAAATTCAGTTGTTTTTCTGGCGCATCAATTTCCTTTCAACTTGGGGACTTTTACAGTCTTTACATCGTCAACTATTGAGATTCCACAGCGACTGGAATGGTAACAGAAGACATTTCATCAACTGGGTCAGACTCCGGATGAAAGGCTGCACTTTCTTTCAAAAAAATTTTCGTAAAACCTAGCTTCGTACATCAAGCAGCCAAAATTTCTGAGTAACATTTGAGACCAGCATGATCTGTTTGTTAGCTGAGGTTTCCTGTACCAAGAGTTTCGGAAGGATGAATTTATTCTCATCGCCAATCGCGTTGCCGGTCGACTAAACAGAGTTCACGGCGTTGCTATTACTTAATTAAAGTGGTGTCCCATTATCCTGATAACAATGAAACTGAAAAGTTTACGTTGACTCTGGACTTCCGCTTATCCGCCGTTGATAGATTCGATGATGAATGAATGACAATGCGAGCTCCAAATTTACTGAGTTCGGCCCCCAGTTTGAACCGATGCTGTGATCTTTGTGCTGCCATTCCAGTTTAGCTACAGAATAAGGGAACGCGTATACTGAAAAGCCATCACCTGTCTGCTTCCAGTACGATTCGTTGAATTCTAAGTACAGAAAGTGAGTGGAATTCACTACTCCTACAGTGCCGATTCTTCAGTTCCATTCCTAACTTATTTCGGACTTCGCAGATTTTAAACTCAGGTATGGCTGCTACAATTCGGAATCGATTTGAAAGCCTCAATCATCTGCACAAAGATCTGCTATAGGCTTTGTTAGATTAAAAACGGGTAGTGCTGAATTTCCTTGTGAACTCATGAACCAAACTTCAGTATCCCGTGCGTCACTTTAATCTAAATCGCCCATGTACAAGCTATACGTGTTTTACCCAGTTCCCATCAGAAACCCATGGCCCACAGTAGTCGCTCGTACATAGACTACAGTTTGAGGTTAAACATAGCCGCACAGCTATTCTTAACCCAAGATCGGAGTCTTCAAAAAGTCAGACACTTTGTGCAGTGTTCGCCTGATCACAACATGGTTCAGCTGTAGCACCTTTTTGATGCTTGGTTGCCATGCCACCCGAAGCACGAAGGCCGGATTACTGCCAGGTTTCTAAGCCTAGACAGGGCAAGTCGAGAGTCAGAGGTCGGATTCAAAACACGGATCTTCCTGTTAGTGAAACCGTGCTCTAACCACTGATTAATAACAAATGAATAGAATCATACAAATTCACGATATAAAAAATATGCACATTGTATTGTCCTTTTACTCACCTTTCGACCTGGACGATCCAGTGTTTGACATGTGGTGAACTAAGGACCAAGGGAACGTGGTGAACTCTTCCGGGAATTTGTCTCCTTGAATATTCTCCAAATATTACAGTTCCATCAACTCCGCCTCTGAAACGTATTGAAACAATGTCTGATCTCTGTTTGCACTGATTGAAATGATAGGAATGCGCTCAAGGTCGTCGGCCGGGCCAAACTTATTCGAATATTCCATGCGTGTTCAACGGTAATGTGGCGATAGTGTGACTGTGGGCTCGTCAGATTTGAAAAACCACGCAAACAGGTACACGTCCTATTCCCTAATGAAAGCAACCATGAAATCCTATCCACGCAGACGAGGTTCTTATTACTCGCGGGATTTTGCCCAAAACCCAGATGAAATTCGGGTCTCATGTTCGAGCTGCTTACACCAACTAGCGACTTCAGTGTCATCTACAAAAAATTGTGGCCTAAAAAGGCCGCTCTGTAGATATTGGTCACCCACACCCTATCAGACAGACACTAACGCGATTTTGAGGAAGTACCAACACATCCCGTTGTGACTATGCAGCTCCTAGTTCCTCATCCTGTTTCCTTCTCCAAGGTTTTTCGATAACAAACATTCGATAATGATTTCTCTGCCAACTCACAGATAATTCTTCCTTAGGCCACTTCCGAATTAGGCTGGATTCTCAAAAGAACCCCAAAGCCCGTTACGTGATCGTCTGTTTAGATATATGCGCCTTCCGGCACTCGCTAAGGGAAAGAAGAATATTCCCCAGGAACCAAAATTTATTAAGCGACGTTGTGAGAACTCAGATGGTGGGAGACACATTGCAATCGTTCAGTAGAAAGTAGAAGAGGGGATCGTGGATAGTTCCAGAAATACCATAGCGGTTGAAACCTCTTCACAACGGAGTGTACTTCTTTGAAAAAATCATAGTTTCCCTTAAATCAAAATTAGTATTCTGAAGTGGCAGACATTCCTACGATTCAAACTGGCGACTTCTGAATTAAGTTACCGTGTAAAATTAATGCATAGATAAAAATATATAAATTCAAAAAATTTAAAAAATTTAGAAACCTTAGAAATTGAAAAATAAAAAATAAATAGATGAAAANATAATAATGCTAAATAAATAACAATAAATAATAAATTATCAAATTAATTAATAATAAAATAAATAAAATGAATAAAATAATAAAATAATAAATAAATAAGCACCATTGTTTTAGTAAATATTCGACAGTTCGATGGGTATGTGTGATTGAGAATCATTTATTTCAAAAGCGTCGATTCAGAGCAAGACGACGTAAATTTTTCGCCCACTCCGGGACAACATTCGCAAGTAAAAATGGCTTCTGAATACTTCACCTAATTGAGTATTTCGTTCACCTTATTTGAAATAATTTATGTTCTACAACGTAGCTAAGGTATAACTCGTTGATAGACTTTAAACCTCACACCGGAAAACTGTAGGCAGTATATAGGCCCCCTTTGATAGCTGCCAGCAAGACCAAATCAGATTAGAACGGATGTTTACGAGCCATTCCGCATTCTCGGCGCACTGTAACATGTGGATGAGTACGACATTCCGAATCAGCTTTGCCAATGGAGGCTTTATTTCCAATTTGGCGAGCCTTATCCATGACAACCCAACCTCACTGCACGACGATTAACCATTTTGAGAGTTTATTCACCTGCGGCGTTTATTCTCGAACTTATATTGACAATAAATTTGAGGTTTTACATCCTATGAAATCTTATGGACGGTTTCAATCGCGGGATAATGGTGCAATTTATTACACCGATTTAGCTCCTTGGGTTATTCGGCGGTTGACACAGTGAGTGAATGTTCACTAAGTGTACTTCGGAAATCACCCTGAAACACTCAGCATTCCCAGGTAAAATAATGCAGCTTAAATTTTGCATGACACAACTGCTCCGTCGCCCACCATATTTTGGGAAAGCCATGTTGATGAGATCTTGTATGAATTCTCGAATGTAGTAGCTGATCTTGGTTCTAGCTTCCCTGTTATATAAGAGCGTTTTCTTGGTCATTCGGTTATTAAGATACGGGAAAGGATACCTGTCAATGTGGATGTGTGGATGGATTTAGTGTGACACCACACTCATTCCTAACGCAATCTACCAATAGACATGAGACATATGTCACTTTAAACTTTTGTGACTTTCAAGCTATTGCCGGATAAAGTGAGTAGTCTGTTGTCAAATCGAAGCTCCGCCCGGCGTCTGATGGAAGAGAAAGTTTATCCCGAAACTCTAGGAAAAGTCTTGCTGTGTTCACTTGCAACTGCGTAATAGCCAGTTAACATTTATAAATGTTCAATAAGACGCGTGAGAATGCTCCTCTTTTAAAAACAGTGTACACGTGGAAAGTTTATTCTATTGTTCAACTAAGAAGTTCACAGCGGAGGGTTGTCTCTCTCCAACTGTACCGGGACCGTATTCCCAAAAAAACAGATATTCAAGATATGAAGTTAAACACGTGTAATCCTGGAAAAAGTTTTCATCAAACTGATATAATACCCGTCAGAAAAAGGCAAGTTACTCGATAGAACCGACCTAGTGTTTCCGTGTTTATTCCAGGGGGTACTAGAAAATGACTTCATTAAGGGAGACTACTATGATCCCGATGATGATGATACCAAAACCCCAGACGAACACACAAATGATCAGCATCATTCACATTGCGAATAAGTCAGTGAGGACGATGACGGAGTCGGTGCTGCTAACCAGGATCATATTGCTTACACTGACTACGATGATGTTTTCTTGTGACTGACTGTTTTATTTTGGTAGTGATTATGGTGATGGTGTTGTAGTCAAAAGGTGAGAAATATCACAAACGGAACTTTCAACTGAGTTCTCCTTCAGGCGAATCTTTCGTCAAAACCAAACTGGTAAGAAAATGAGTGCAATTTGGGTTCAAGTTTGACGGAAACTTGCGAACTGCGCCCACCTGATGAATCTAAACTGGAAGAGCGAAACCGCTAGTGGGTCGCTGAATAGTCTCCAGCAACCTTATGAGTAGTGTGCAACGTCCATATAATGATGGGATATTCTGATGGATCTGATAATGCAGCCGCTGATAATTATGATGATGGATTAATGTTAGGGGGTTTTCATGTTGATGTTGGGTTTACTGGTGATGATGATTTTAACGTCTGACACTCATTTTTGCTGTCTTCGTTTCTACACCACCATAAAAATTCATTCCCAGATAATCATGTTCCAAACACTCAACTATTCCGTTTTATGCTTCCTCGATACAGCCCCATCGTGATACTTCAGTCGTTTTTCTAATTTTTTGGTAACTTTTTCATATATCTCTTACTACGGTCAGGTTTTTTTGAAAGTATGTGCCTAAAATATTCCACAGATTTAGAGTCCCCTAAAGCNATGAATCTAAACCGGAAGAGCGCAACCGCTCGTGGGTCGCTGAATAGTTTTCAGCAACCTTATGAGTAGTGTGCAACAACCATATAATGATGGGATATTCTGATGGATCTGATAATGCAGCCGCTGATAATTATGATGATGGATTAATGTTAGGGGGTTTTCATGTTGATGTTGGGTTTACTGGTGATGATGATTTTAACGTCTGACACTCATTTTTGCTGTCTTCGTTTCTACACCACCATAAAAATTCATTCCCAGATAATCATGTTCCAAACACTCAACTATTCCGTTTTATGCTTCCTCGATACAGCCCCATCGTGATACTTCAGTCGTTTTTCTAATTTTTTGGTAACTTTTTCATATATCTCTTACTACGGTCAGGTTTTTTTGAAAGTATGTGCCTAAAATATTCCACAGATTTAGAGTCCCCTAAAGCATCATGCTATTAAGGCTGACCACATTTATGTAATGGCATCATTTTCCCATTTTGTCTTTGTGGGTACTCACTACAAAAGACAGGTTGCGGGGTTGCCCTTTATCCCTAGAACACATAATCACGTGACCCACTACACCATCCTCCTCCACAGAAAAAAAGACATTTAAAAGCCTCTTTCGGAAGTTAAGAGAGCTATCTTGCTGTCCTTCCAACAACACTGTTCAAGACGCTCTTAGGCACCGTTCAGAGTGCATTCTGTCTTGATTACTCTTGTATGCTACTCATGAGTAGTCCTAGAGGTTTTTAATCGCCCCCTTTTTAGTAAAATCTTTGGAATTTCAATTGCCTAGTGATCCTGCTTTCGTTTCACGAACCTATGTTCAATGTTACTGTCATCTACCTGGTTAGGACGGGAATTGGACATGTGCGTCAAAAAATTAACAGGCAGTTAGTCACCTGAATTCTTCCACAACTCAGGCAGCTGCGGTTTGCTTGTTCAATTTGCCCATGTATTCACCAGATTTATTACGAGCCCAGCTATTCAGCATCTATAATTTAGCAACCAAAGGCACGCATACTGATGTTCTGTTGGACACGCGGAGTTTTTCAACCAAATGACAACTTGACTGTGAAATGATTCGGCAACTCATGGTGGTATGTGGTCCGCACACAATACATAAACTTATTCAGTAGATGGATGACGGTGAACGCCAAAGTTAATTTCACTTAAATTATGCCATATTTCATGGAATTTGTCACTTGTCACTTACCGTTTGAAGACAAAAGAAAACATGCGCCGCGTGATCAACCCTTGTGAGCGCATATCATCCAATGCTGTTGACCGAAACCCCGGATGAACGTATCCTGCAGCAAGTCCAAACAGCCCGTCTGTAAATTTAAGCTGCCCTGATTGACCGTCATGGCTATCCACCACTGCAAAATCTGTGCGAAACGATCCACTATGAACCTGGAATTCGATGAATTTGACAAGAAACCTACTTTTGTGATATCCGAAGCGATATAACCCGAAACGATGTAGTTACCGTATTCAGCGTAATACCGACTATTCTTGACACCGTGTGTTCTCGATTCCGATGGGTTGTACATATTTTGAATCATCGAGAGTCCTTTCACCCAGTGCACGTTGCAGACCCAGATGACTGGTGACCCAGTATCAAACTGTAACTTGAAATATTGCGGTGGGGTTCCGATTCCAACAATGCCATAATAACTAATGCGCTAAAACAAATCAAACTATCTGGTTCTGAGCCGTGGAAATAACTTGCCTTATAATCGTACAGTGTAACTTCAATCGATGGCGCTCCATTTTCTCTCTTGATGGGCTGTGCTAACGGATCACTTAACGGGATACCGAAATCGTTGGTGAGATAACCGTTGAAATAATGAGGTACTTACGTTGTGTTTTTTGACTCGATTGCGGTCCAAAGCGGGGTAATCAGTAGGATGAGTTTCAACATCGCAATGAGCTGCTTACAACCCAACTGCCGTTTGGCCATCTTTCACAGTTGACAGGGCCTGATGAACTTCTTTTAATAGGATTTTGGGGCAGGTGCTTTGTGGCGTCATTTCGTTGGACCGTGATCCACGCAGGATGATGACTGGTGATTGGACAGTCGTCAAAATCCAATCACAGAGTTCCAGCTCGAGGTCGGTTACACAAAATCTGCAGGCATATTTCCTTCGTTAATCTATTTGATCTTTTCTTCCTCAATGTGCCACCACCCCTCACCCACTGTTCTTCCATATACCACAAGCCGTGAACGCTGTTCTATCTACTCACTCCAGCATGGTTTACTACTAATCAAGGATGAAAGCTGCTACATAACTTACTATGCTTACTGGGTTTAGATCATTCGTAGTAGATCGCAAGACCATTCTCAATTGAAAACGGGAAAAATGATTTAAGTGTAAGGAATACTACGGACATTTTACCTTACCAATATTGTTTAACAGCAGAAAAAATCTTGGGACTCGTCTGTAGAGCTTCCACTATGAGACAGATGTCAACTTTCGCAATAGAATCATTGAGAAGGAAGATAAGCAGGTCCCTGGCACTCTTATCTGGTCAGAAAGGCTGTCAACTATCGTTGAACTTCTTCAAACGACTTGCATCGAAACCCATGAGTTTTGTTTATGCATAACAACTGGATGAGTCCTCATGTTCGAACCCTGCCGCTGGAAGTTTGATAAGGTAGTAGAAAAAAGTACTTTTTTCAGCAGTAGTCGAACTGCAAACGTTTTATATGCCGACTGAAATATTTTTTTAGTTGTGAACCAAAAAGCGATCATCTAGAATACGACTTCTGTGGTCGCCTGACACAGTTGTGATCACGTTCCCCGATATTCCGAGCTTACTCAAGACACACGGTCCGTGAAATTAAAGTCTGGTATGTCCTAACACCAAATAACATTAAATGGAGTCAGCTACCGTCGCCACTTGGCGTCACCCAGCTCCGCCCAAAAAGGGAAAAACTTTGGCTCATCAGGTGCGGTGATGTCACACCCTATTTGCTTTGCCTTCAGAAGGCGCTGTCATTGGTTCTGCTAGGAAACGTCGACAGCCTTCTTGACAAATATGTGGTCTCCGGCTGTAGGCGTTCTTTACATGGCTTGTTTTCTGCGATATTTCATCTCGACGATTTTTGACGTCTGGACGCCAGTCCGTATTGCCAAACTTTTCAGCATCTTGATGTTTGACCTGCTGGTCACTATTGTATGAGTATGCGGGACTGAGGGATGCAATCAGTGCTGAAAAAAAGGTTCATCCTCAGTTGTTCGCTGAATGGCACTATTTGAAGCGCAAATATTGTAGTTTTAATCAACCGCAATTCAATAAAGAAACAGCAAGCACCCTAGTGTACTAAAGTTGTTACGTCTGCCGTTGTATGGACTTTAATTCGCCTATGATGGGACCTTCAGTCCTCAAATATCTAACACTGGTAAGCTGTGGATACTCACCTCATTTTGCCTCCCTCATCCAGCTTGATGGTCTTTGTGGTTTTTCCAGTGGAACGATACTAACAGATTTAACCGACATCAGTCTATCCCTAAAATCTATGGCTGTTTTATCCCTGTTGGAGTCCATTAGCGGTCTGCGTCCAACAAAACTTCACAGCGATTTCCGCCATCACATTCTATTTAGGGCTTCCATCGTGAAAGTTTCCAGTCCTGTCTACATGTGACCACATCGTTGTAATCATCAAAGGTTCATTCTATCTGAAAACGAGTCACTCGTACAGCTTATTTGCCGCCGGAAAGTTCGTGGGATCGGACCATCCAAATGGTTCCTGAGATGCGTGCTAAAACAACCATGCAAAGCTTCATGGATAACAGTCCAAACCGGTACTGTACTTGGGTGGCATGGAAAGGAAGTTTATTGCTGTGGAAAATAAACAAAACAAATACAGAGAAACAGATAAATAAAATAAAATATATCAGTAAGAAATGTCTCAGCCAAAAGAATTAGATGATGAATGCATGTGCTTGAATTTGCGCTCCATTACCTCAGTTCGTTATACAACGCTTTGCTTTTTCCAGGTATAGAGCACCAAATCTGGTCACGTTTCGACGTACAGAGTGTTCTCTCCCACAAATTTCCGACACATTCTCAGACCCCTGTAATACTAGCTCGGACATATCAAATACATTCGTTGTACAAACGCAGTTTATCACTTTGAAAGAAATCAATTCGGATTGTGTTGGTGAACGGCCAACTAGGTGGTAACCAGGCTGCCTTCAATCGGTTTGCTGAAATTACAACACATATTGAATGGCAGTTAGGAAAATCCATGAGGGTGATATTTTTCCAAGTTTTGGTATCACTATGGTTTTTCCAGGTGTAAGCAGTCTCACTTCTCGCGTAACAAAACCTTAAAAATTTGAAAGCTTCAAATTCAAAGCACAGCTGGTATAATACCCCGTTATTATCTGACATTTTGGTTGCCGACGGCAACATGCGTTATTATCTGACATTGTGGTTGCCGATGGCAACATGTTTCAAGAACTTCTTTTATCATTTTCTTGACTGTTATCAGTCCGCTCAACAAGATATGAGATACGTTCGGCCCGAAGCTCCTGTGAACGAATAAAACTTCTCGCTTATCCAACCATTTAGGGATATCAAAAGAGCATTAGATGCTTAGCGGGTGCATAGCAAAATACGCCTCCTGGCTCGATGGCTGTTCTGCAAAGGCTGAATGCACTTGCCGGAAGAAATCTCAGTTGAAAATTACAGTAAGCTATTTTAAGTACCAAATTCTAATATTGTTGTTTGCAGCCCATAGGTAGAATGGCGTTGCAGTGCGCGAGTTCGAGATATGGAAGCGCTTGTTTTCTTCCAGGGCTACTTTACGCAGAGAGTGCCACACAGCCCGTAGGACACAGGTATGATTGACAACTGGACTTATTCATACCTTTAATCAAACGGTTGGTAGGTTTTGCATGAACTGTCGGTAACCGATAAACCGTGGTTTTTTGTTTAAATAAAGAGGGAGGATTTTGACCTAGGGCTGTTGGATACACGCGCATTTTGAATTAGGGGGTGTGACAACGGACATTTGAACGGTCTGCGTTTCGCCTGATTGGCCAATCCACTGGCTGACGGCTAAAAGCCAGTCTGTTTTACGTAACAATCCATCTATCCCCTGAAGACTCCCGAATGAATTACAAAACGTAGCCTCAGAATTTTTTCCAGATGTGCAGGCAGACTACTCAGTCATCCTCTGAATTTACCGCGTTGTTCAAGGTGAATCGAACTCGGTTGAAGGATTGTTGTATAGCGGCGGTGTTTAATACCTTCAATAAACGATTGCTGTTTAACAAACCCGCTCATTTTGTCACGCTGTCCCCCTTCCCGAAAATTCATGAACACCCAGGGTACGGACTGAAATGATAGATTTGCACAGATTTGATGCATTCACCCACTTTCAAGGGGTTTTGTCATGGTTATGCTCAACCAACGTAACATATGACACTGTGTATAAGTTGCACGGTTGTCAATCTATTAATTTCAAAAATTAAAAAACAACTATTTGAGTCTGCCGTGAGTACTTTAAAGCCACAGTTCGGCTGTCACCTGCCATCGACGATACGTTTTATGGGTATGTTGTGGACTATTGCCCTTTAATGCTTTCTTTTTATCGTGAACCCCAGTCTGGATAGCCCCGTGATGGCCTGGTGCGCTTGACCAAACCAGAAAAAGTCAACGAACGTGCGAGCCAGCCACTCTATTGACCACCATCTCGTACAAACGGTCCGAAATAATACTAAGAATACAACTCATCCGTCAAGGGCGAGTGAAGAACAACCAGTGAAATCCGTCTCAACGAAAAACGGTTATTCCATTGGCCGTTATGTAGCCCCGTTACGTTAGGAGCTGGTCTTCCTAATAGGGTATAATTAATCCGTCGCACCAAATCGAATGGAATTCGTCTGGCGGTACAGTATTTGATAGCCGGCGGACTAACTTCCTCTATTCTCATGTAAACAAAAGGTGTGCATAGAACTGATAAATTCCATTGCAAAGATGTAACGACGACCTCGGGCGTTTTAACCAAATTAAGTCAACCTGGAATGCCTTAAACCATTTAGTACTTTTAAGGGTGGGTATGATAAAATGAAACTCAATTGGACGAGAGTTGAGATTTCAGTGAACCTTCCTCCAAAAATACCCTGCGGCTCTTTGAGAATTTACCAGCCATTCTGGTAGAAAACAACTTTACTGCAGCTGGTCAGCTTGGTAGTGTGGCGCCGGGGTGCATGGAATGAGATCAATCAGCATCGAAGTTATCCGTTGTCGTTGGTGAACGTATGTCTTCCACAAAATATCCCGAGCAACTTTTTGTTTCATGTGCGATTATTTGCTTTCGAACTCGCAACTACTAGGCTGGGTAATGGGTGTCTTTATTTCTTACAAGTGGAATCAACAACTTACTAAATCTACAGTCACTAAAAGGAGACAACCTGAAACACTGAGAGTGCACGCGGTCAGCCCTACAACACAATGAATAGTCTGTATTTGCAGTAAGCGACATATTAAATTGGATCTGCCTGAAGCCAAGTACTTGTCACAAGCCGCAAGGATTGTCAACCTCTTGTAAGCTGTATGTATTGGTAACGTCTATCGGACAGATAAATCTCGTGCGAGATTCATGCCAAAGATTGTAAGTAGCTGAGCTCACTCATCTGAACGCGCGAGATGTTGGCAAAAT